TTCTAATTATTAAGGCCCCTATACGTAACCAAAAGCCTTACCCTAGGCCCTAATGTCAGGGGCTTTGGATGTTTTGGATGTGCGGTTCGACTCACTCCCTAAATGTTTCAAGTGAAGCTGTGGCTTCTTGTCTACGTCCTCACGTTAAACCCCTTTTTTTTCATATCGACGACCGCAAACTTTGCTGCCACCATGCTGACAGCTCCGACGGGTTCGGGCGTTTGCCCTGATCGCTGTCCGCCCTCTGCAGACACACATCTTAATCTTACCGGAATGTGTATGCTGTATGCTGTTTTCACAGCATCGATGCTAGTAGCTGTCTCGTGGGAGATCCTACCCCCTCCCCTTTACACTTCCTAGCTCGGGCCTCTTCAATACAGTCTGGTCATCTTGAACAGAATGGCCTCGGTAAGATCTGAGAGTCTGCGATTAAAGGCCAACTGTGAGAATATAAGCAGGGACTTGCGATGTAGTGCTGTCGTGAAGGCGGCTTGGGATCCCCCTGTCGTCCCACCTTCATGCTCAACCCTAAACCCGAATTTCAGGGTAGTCGTTCGTCCACGAGCCTTTGGAGACATGCTCTTCCTCGGTTTACTGCGAATCCTTCTCGAGGGCCCCAGTTACGCAAGTGTTAGGCCGGTAGCTAATCGTTCAAGGTGTAGGTCGCAGAGTACAGGTCTCAGGGCTTAGCAGCTGAGATCCCCGTAACCCATTATTCCAGCGATGGCAGGCCTGTACAGCTTTCATGGCCTTACTAAGTTTCACAATCATCTGAAGGAAGTCTTTGGTACGGCCGTGGCATTCGCTGACGGGCTTAGGGCTTTAATTAGGGCACCAACACAAGACCTTTCATTTGTTGCACCCACAACGAACGAGCCTCTGAACGTCAGCGGCACCGCCGGCTGGCAATGATTACCTGCAACGAACCCTGCGCTGTTCGTCAAACTATCTAATCAACCGCGAAAGGCTTCCCCGGCTTCGCTAAGCTCAGACAAACAACCATATTGCGATCCTTATGGCGCAACACTCTGCTCGCGGCAAACCCACGAAGTGCCTTGAACCCTGGGCCGAAACACGTGAGGTGGCGTAGGCTACTGACTACACGGCACACATTGCCGTGATGATTCAATGCGTGTAGGAAGCAATCGCGAAATGTCCCCGTCAAATCAGTGATTTAATTACCCCCCCGTACCAATACTCCAAGAAATCCCAGTTTTGAAACTTAGAGCTTTTGCAAGCTTAGCTTTGTACATTCAGTATTTAGGGTCACTTGGTCTAACACCAGATCCTCAAACCCTAAACCCTAAACGCTTGTTTGTTGTTGTCGTCTTACTAGCCTTGTCTGACAGCTTACAGTACTTGGTGACACCGGCCAAGTACAGTGTTAATGCCTTGTGGAACCAGTATCGCTACAGACCTTG